GCAGGTATTGGTGAAATGCTCGGTCTTTGTGTTAGCCCCACCCCTTACTCCCTGGCCGCCGCTGATTAAAGAGGGGGGGGGGGGGGCAACGTGCGTCCGTGAGAGGTAGGTATGATTGCAGGGGTCCCCTATATAGAGGCCTAGGAGTAGTGCTAGGTAGGTAGTTAAAAGGTGGAATTGAGAGAAGAATATAGCTTAGTTTGTAAAAAAAAGAAAAAAAAAAAGAAAAAGGAAAAAACGAGCACTTTCCAAAATGTGTTTGACTGGAATTATGGCCAACTCGGGACGAATCTGACTGCAATCACGGCCAGAGCTTAGTAGAAAAAGACCTAGCATGAGTATGCACTCAGCTTGAGGTCTTTGGAAGAAGATCGGTACCCCACGAGTAGTTTTTTTTGTTTTTTTTTTGTTTTTTTCTTTTTGCCCCACCAGGGGCCAAGTCCCACTCGCAGCCGTAGTTTCCTCAACGCCCAAATCTGGGCGTGTTTGTGGACAGTATGCGGTCCAGTTAACTCAACGCTATTTTCTGCACCTCTCCTCAAACACGTCCACATTCGGGTCTGTTGAGGAAACTCAACGCTGCTAGTCGCCCCAGTTGAGGTTTCCTGGCATGTATTTGGAGGTGCAAAGATGGTGGGTGATTCAGGCCGCCTGGTTGGGACAGAAAAACAAAAAAAAAAGAAAGAAAAAGCAAAAAGCACTAGGCTACCAGCTGGGCCCCGCCCGGGGGCCAAGTCCCACTCGCATTGCTCCTGTTCCAGTGATGGGGACCTCCCTGTTGTGTGACACTCCTTGCCACCACCGATTGCCGTGGATCGTAGGGCAAGGCCATTCTCTTCAAACTTCACGTGAGGCAGGCAGGCGGTAAACTCGGTGCTTTCCCATTGGCTGCACATGTTCACCTTCTTTTGTCGAAGGTGGCCTGTGAGTCCCATTTCTCTGGGGCGGTGCACATCAAGCTAGAGAGGGGGACCGCCAATCCCATTTCAGATACGGCGGTGATGAACCAAAAACAGAAAGGGAGAGGGCAAAAATTCTGCATCACCAGATGGCCACGGTCTGTGCGAGAAAGGAAAGGAAAGCCTTCACCATCGGGGCTCTCTGCACTGCTCTCCAAAGGTCGCATTCGACAATGAACTGAACAGGGAAGGTCCCAACAAAAAAAATAAAAATAAAAAAATCTGAGAACAAACTATGTTATGCAGAAAAATAAACTGAACAACTTTTGCCGCAGGGTCACATCAAAATTCGTTGGTCTCATCGAAATTCGTTACCAAGGACCCTGCTCTTACGGATCAGAGTGTGAGTGGGTTGTGTGTGGTGTGTTGGCCTTAGACACTGCTGTTATTCGGTTGGGGGTGGGGGACGATGAAAAGGGAGGCGCAGCTACTGGCAAAATGCTCGGTGTTTGCGTTAGCCGGACCCCCACCGGCGGCCCCACCCCATCCTTGACCACCATGTTTTTTTTTTTTTGGGGGGGGGGGGGGGGGGGGGGACGCAACATGCA